CGTCTCTATTATTTTTCTTCTCTTTTCTTGTTACTTTCTTGTCGCGGGCCACACGAAGCGCGAGTCTTACGTTCGTGTGGCACCTTTGGGCCACAACTACAGCCCCAAGCCGCAGTATCGGGTTACCTCATGTTTATAGCTGTACGTTTTAGGTTTGAACTCTATCGACTCATGTATTTAACTTACGAGGTCCTCGAGGAGGACCGTATCGTGAATAACATTCTTCTTACTTTTTTCCTGATTTTTCCCGCTTTATTCGCTTCGTGAGATCGCGCTCGAGATTACTCGCGCGACCTCTCTCGGCAACTCGCTTCAGTGCTTCCGGTCGGGTCGGATATCGAATACATCCGGACCTACAACTTCGCACGTGTTCGGACGCACCAGCGTCTCCCACATCGTCTCGCGTCGTCTCCTCTCTCCCGTACGCTCACCTCCTCAGAGGCACCCTCGAGGGGTGGGCGTCCGCTCATTCGAGCTTACTCTCAACGATTAACTTCTGTATTTCCTCTCGTGATTCGCTACCGGTTTGAGACTCCTCAAACGGGTGTCTCAAAGGTGGACATATCCGGAAGTCGCGATCGATAACGAGGATCAGGTTGATCTCGCTGGATACGACGACTTAGACGACTATTCAATCTTGTGCGTTTCTTTTCTATGTCTTTCTCGAGACTTCCTCAGTCTTCGAACTCCGGAACTCGAGGACGGGCTCGTAGTAGGAGCGGCACCCGCCCTACTGCTCCCAGTACAAACCCTCCACCCGTGTCGTTGTCCCGGCCTGCCACGACGGCTCCGGCAAGTCAACGCACCCTTCCTCGACTTACTCCTTCAGAAGTACGACTGGCACAGTCAATATGTACCGCATTCTATACCCGAGAGCCGACAGGGACGTCGCAGTTCGACGTGGTGAAAGCGTTTCAGGATACGTTAGTGGACCCAGCGATGGTCGATGTTCGGAACGAAGGCGTAGAAGGAGTGGAAGTGGAATATGGATTAGAGGTCGATTTTCTGCAGAACGCATCGGACGCGGTCGAAGTAATTCAGGATGTATTGAATCGTTTACGGGATATCAGGCACAGTGAGGCTAGAATAATAGACCGTCAAGGTCGACTTATTTCCTTCCTCACCAATTCCAGGAGCCATCTTATGGTGTATCGAGCATGGAACATCCTCCGTAGCCGTCTAGACGGAGCGTTAAGATATATCGATAACGTCTTCAACAATCGCCCTGACCGTCATGGAATATTTTCGCCCGCTACTACCGCCAATGACTTGTATACCGACGACGCTACCGCACCTAGTGAGGAATATTTAGCGAGGTATACCTTGTCGACAAATTTCAACACAAACCTTTTACCGACCGAATCCCGTCAGTTAATCTCGAAAGTCCGCAGAGCTCACGCTATCCGTCGTCAGCCCATTTTAGGGAGTGATTTGCCTATCGAAACTGTATATCCGGTTGGAAACGTAGAATGGATAGGATTCTTTCGGAGTCCGGAACAGGAGGAAGGGGAGTTAGCTCAGTCGACGATAGCCTCGCTACCTCCTTCCCATCTCCCGACTCGTGCACCTGCATTTTTATCTTACTCTACGGATTATAAGCCTTCAGTCAAGACGGAACCGTCGTCCGCGAACCCATTCGGGAGTCGTGAGGCAGCGTACCCTCCTTTATCAACGGAACAAGCTTCGTCTAGCGTGGCACCGGGAGGAGGATTGGGATTGTTTCCATGCTCAGTCACGACGGGACAACCTGCTGGTCCGTCCACTTCATACAAGTTTTCACAAGATTCAGGTGGTATTGGAATCAGATCGAGTTCTCGCGCTTCAAGAAGAGGTTCCGGGGATCACCAGATGATGTAGCCTCTTTATAAAGAGTGCCTGTAGTAAGACTGGGACTCTATACAGAGAGCCCATCATCTTACTGGCCCATGCTAATAAGGGCTCTTTATTAAAGAGCAGTGGTGCTGGTGGGTATTCTGGCTGGAAAAATGGGCGAAAAAATAGGCAAAAAAT